TATATTTTAATAATTTTAATTAATAAAATATTTCAAACTTGAGTTCGAGCTCGAATAATCGAACTTTTATTGAATATAAAAATTAAACTTATTTTTATATGTTAATCAAGCATAATTGAATGAATTCAAGTAGCGGAATTTTTATCTCAAATCAAATTTGAGCTAAAAAATTAAAACAAGATTAAAATCAAGTCACATTTTCAATTTCAAATTTCGAGTCAAACTCAAATTCAAATCGGCTTGAATTCGATCAACCCTAGGTGTGAGCAACTGTGTCCTCTACCGGTAAACATTACAGTTACATTTACGTGATAATAGCTCAGTGGAAGACAGAATTTTCAGCAGAAAAGATTGGTTAAAGTGGGGAATGTTACAGAATGGTGTGGAAATAGCCATAATCTGTAATCAATCTTTTTTTTTTTAACTGTGCAGAATGGTGTAAATATAACCTCTTCGAAAGCTACAAGAAAACTCAACTACAAAAAGCAATTCTGGGTTTTGCAAAATGACAATCGATATCGATGAAAATTCAAAAGTCATTGAAGCTTTTGGTATTTTCCTTTGTAGCTGTAATTTTTGTTTTGGATTTTCAACAAAGTCACACGTCCTTTTTCAAGAACAACTGTTCAAGCAGTGAATGGAGAGTTTTCCAGTTTTCCCTTAGTAGTCAGAACACTTATTAAATATCTCCATCTCCCGTTATTATTTTTCCACCAAAAAATCTGGAGCTAGATTTTATTGGACCATGTGTGAATGCACCATGTGATGTTCATGTGATGCACCATGTAAATGGCAATCACCTAATCTGGATTGCCCTAGGCATTCCTTTTAATAACCAGAGACAAATCATGTAATGTCTTGTTCAAAACTTGTTTTGGCACTTCCTCTAATGTTTTCAGAACCTATTAGAAAAAAAAAATGAATGACTTTGGGGACTTCTACCACTTAGTAAATCTTCATGTTCTAAGTCCGATTCTTTTCACCTGGACTACTTGATAGAAGAGTTGCTCAATTTTTCATTTTTTTTTTTCTTTTTAACATTTGACAGACAAAATTATTATGTTTGGTAAGAAGAAGACTTAGATGAAAATTTTCAAATAAAATTTGTGAAGTTCTCTATTAAAAATAATTAAATAAAAATTAAAATCTAAAACCAAAACCAATAAATTAAAAGATCTTGTTACATAATCAAATGCATAATTTTTAAAAGTTTTTAGTAAAATTTAATATATTTTTTAGATAGTTGTTTTAATAGAAATTTCAATATAATTTTTATCGTTAAATAAGAACTAATTAAATTTGAATGATAAATTGTATTTTTAATAATATTTTTTTACATATTATTGATTTTTTCATATAACTCTATTAATTATGGATTTGAATTTTTTTATTAAAGTTTTAATTAATCATTTATATTAAAAAATTTTATGAACTTCCTTTAGAGAACTTTGCATAAGGTTTTTAGGATTGTTAGTGTTTTTTCACCGTGGAATACCAAAGAATCATATCAATATATGCAGCAAATCTAGCTAAAGTTAAGTTTAAAGATTAAAGAAAATTGTCTCACTGTTTTAATTGAGGGAGAGAAAACCATTTTACATTAGGTCTTTTTTTCACGAATCAAATGGCCTTTGACAAGTGACATCTTCATTTCAAAGGGAGGAAAAGAAAGAAAAACAGAAAGACAAAAAAGCACAAGGGCTTCATCATGGCTTTAAGCTTTTGAGAAAAATATCAATAATTTGCGTAAAAAAGAAGGGTTCAAACATGGAGAAAATAGGCCTAGAAACGTGATTTATGTTGCATCATAGGGCTGGTTTTCGTGTAGCTTTCTTTACGTAATTGTTGCTAAAGTAAGCCATGATTAAACCACTGAAGCTTTATTAGTTAATATTAACCTCACCAGAAACCCTTGCCCACCTCCTTTTAAGAACTCCATAACTACAAGCTAACAACCAAGAATTCTTTGCTTTTCTTTTCTTTTTTTTGTAAATAAGTAAAAAATAAATTGTGAACAGTAACTAAAATCCTGGATACATTCATCTGTTTTCTGAATACCATAGTTGATAATTTTAAACATAATATTATAATGCGCAATGAATGAAAAAAAATTTTAAAAAAACATGATTTAAAATTTTTGTAAAAATTGTAAATGATCAATTTGAAAAAAAAAGGTATTTCATGTTTGGCATATCAATATAATTGTGATACGATAATTTTTATATTTTATATATACTTAAAATGAAATAAAGACAAATAAACAAATTGACAGATCTAGATATAAGTATGTGTCAAATTTGACAATAGTTTAATTTTAAAATATACACAACATTTTTTTATGAATTTCAATTCAAAATGTTAAAAAAATGTCACATATAAATACATATGAATATGTATGAATCCAAAATTTAACTTAGTTTATTCATACATCTACTATTAAGAGATGATATCTAATAAATTTGGGGTTCAAATTATAACAGTTGCAATCTTTTTCTTATCTCTAGACCAAGGCCTTATTTATACCAATAAAAACGAAAATTGCATAATATTGTTATTTTCTTTTTTAAATGAGAAAAATAAAATAGAACTAACAGTTGTAATCCTGGATTCTGTATCATTGCAAGTGAGTTTTTTTTTTTTTTTCCTACTTCAGGCACTCTAACAGATACAGGAGTAGCAGCAACAAGTATCTTATTTGAGGCTGTGGAAGGCTGGAGTCTTCTCCATATATATCAATATTTTCCCTCATAAAATGAATAATGCAATCTCTCATTGCACTAACTTTTACCCTTTCTGAAAGAAGGTTGCTATTAGTTGATAGCAAAGTATATGGACTGTAACTTGAACTGTATAATTTAACTTTGGCATCTATTTGGCAACAGATAAAAGAGAAATAAAAAAATTTCATGGATTGGAGAATATGACCTTTCTCCTCTGTCAACTCAAACCCCCTTATGGGATTTCAAACCTGAATTCTTTTGTTTCAGTCCTCCATACCCCTTTTAGTATCTGATTCTAGTCATAAAACCAGCCATGTGATCATGAGTTTGAATTTCCTTCTTATACCAGTACCTTCCAACAAGGAAAAGGAGTCTTAATCTCTTACCTTTTAAAAAAGAAAAAGTAAAAGAAATGGTATTGTCATCAATTTAGTTGGTATATAGTATTTTAGTAATTAATGTAAAGAATTTAGGATTAGATCCCACCTTTACCAAAATTTAGAAAGATATAATTTAATTTAATTGGTTCATACAATCACCATTAAGAAGTAACTTTCAATAAATTTGAGATTTAAATTTCAACATCTATGATCAATTCTTATATTGTTAAACTGCAATCTCTTACAAAGAATAAAATAAAAAAATGACATTTTGTGCAAACCAAGCTAATCATAAAAAAATATAAGCTTTATACACAATTGATCATTGCTAAATGAAAAAAAAAATGATGGTGATACTCATGTAAAGAGGCATGCCAAGTCTAGAAACTTGGATAATTATTCTTTGTTTTTTTTCAATATTAACTTTTGTCTTTGAATAGAGCTTTTTAATGATTCTCCTATAATTTGAAAATACTACAAAATTAGATTTCAGCTCATGTATTTACTGGCAAAGATTAATGGTCAACTACTCCTTTACCAACTAGTTTGATCTACATAAATTAATTAGTTGAAACACATTGTTTATATTTCTTGCAAAACCACTTGTTCAATATGTCCATCTACCATCACTTGAAATATAAGTGATGATGATCATTTCATCTCTATCCTTGTTGGGAGCAATAATTTAGGCATTTAGTGACCACTCCAAATTTTTTGTTCCCTTCTTCTGGAACAGCATTCATTGATAGGATTTCTGAAAAAACATGGTGAATTTTAGACATGGAAGGAATTAATAAGCAATTCAAAATAAATTCAGAAATAATTTTGGGACTCAACTATTTGGACTGTACATTCATGGTCTTGAATGTGAGACATATCTTAGTTGTTCCGAAATTTTACTGACAGAAAGGGAAAATAGAGGAATAGTTTCAATGATTAAATCTATCTTATATAGAATAAATAAATGAGTAGAGAAGCCAATTATCAAGGGCAGCAGTATAATTGGATTTAACAAAATTGCAGGTCATGGGTCAATTTTCTATGACTATTTTAATTCATGTCAATTTGTAAAGAGAAATGAAGAATTTGTAAGACTTAATAAGTGAATCTGGAAATAAGGTGAATCTCAAAAGCAAATAATGTATTGGACTGACTGTTCATTTTTTTCATAAAAAAAGCCAAATTAATTGACAGATAATGAAAATTTTTAATAATCAAAATTCAAATTCTGATAATTTCATATTAAAAATAGAAAGTCATTAGATAAATAAAACCAGTTTCCTTCATTTATTTTTTTTAAAGAAAAGAGTGTCTAACATTAAAAAAATATAAAAGATAAAAGACAAAGGAACAAACGAAACTGAATTCGGGTTCAAAGGGTCCAAGAAGCAATTGTAGTGGGTGTGTTTGGCAAGTTTTATAGCATAACCCAATACCCCAGATGCTACAATGGTAATTCAAGGTGGATACAGGCAAATGTCGTAATGTACCAGAAACAGTGTAAAAAAATATAATAATAAATTTTCACAATGTCGATCCCATGGCCCATTTAATGTCATTATTTATTCTACCTCACCAAATGGGCGAGAGGGAATCTGACAGGAGTTCATTCACATCTGCTGATAATAATTATCAAAGCTTTAAAAAACAAACAACTCTCTCCATCACCGTTTATTATTAACCACACCAATACCCAAACCCCAAAAAAAGATAGAAGGAAAAAACGATTTTTTGAGAAGCCGAAGCCAAGCCTGCTAAAATAAAATCCGACCTTTGAAGCCAGGCCAAAAACCCGAGTGGCTAATTAGATATGGTTATATTTTTTTACGAATACAAATTATAACAACATAATTTTTTATAATATGATATGAATTATTAATATTTTACGTAAAACAAAAACTTGTGTTACATATCTTACTCTAAATCGTACTGCTTACTGATCTTGAAAGGGTTTAAAAAAATCGTGTAACAAAACCAGTTAAATATATCGATAAATAAAGATCCAAAAGATAGATTGAAGCCTTGCCAGCACTCACTACCTCTGCCAGTCCTCGTTGCAGTGCACCCCCTTCTCTTTCTTTGCTTTACTTCGCTTTGCTTAACATATTTTCTCTATCTCTCTCTCTTGCCCTGAAATAGAGGAAGAAGAGAAGTTTAATGTGCATTCACAGCCTGTGGATACCTCTCTCTGTCTCTCCCTTTCTTCAAAACTGAGCCTTTTGTTTTTGTTTTTCTTCAGAAAGAGAGAGAAAAACTGAGACGACACCATTTGTTTTTGCTCTCATTTTTTTCTGTTAGAAAAGCCCCAAAAGAAAGAACAAAGACTGACCTTTTGTGGGGATTTATTATAAATTCTTCTTCTTCTTCCTCTGTTTTTTCTTCAGATCTATTTCCAACCCTTCTTTCCCTTTCTTTTTGTTTCCACTATTGTACTCTTCTGTTTGTTGTTTTTGAGCATAAGAGAAAAAAATGAGTAAAGAAGAGTTTATGAAGATCCAGGTATTAACCCTCTTTCCCCCCCTCATTTCTCTTGCTTGCTTCAAGTTTGTACCTTTACTTCATTTCCACTCAATCTTTCTTGCCTTTTGTTTTCTTCTTTGCAGACTTGTGTTCTCAAAGTTAACATACACTGTGATGGATGCAAGCACAAAGTGAAGAAAATCATGCAAAAAATTGATGGTATTTCTAAAAATTTAATCTACTTTTCCCTTTGTTTTTGCACGTTGTTAAGAAACATAGTTACCAGGAGAATAGTTCATTTGTTTTCATTTCATAGACTATTGGAAGTTTAGTTTTTTTTTTACATATGTTTCTCCAATTTGAGCTCTTGTTGTTGTCCTGTTTTTGGCAGGGGTTTACACAACCAGCATAGATTCTGAGCAAGGTAAGGTAACAGTCTCAGGAAATGTAGACCCAGCGGTTCTCATCAAGAAGCTTGCAAAATCAGGGAAACATGCAGAGCTTTGGGGTGCTCCAAAAGCTAATAACAACAACCAAAACCACCTTGCCAACCAGTTCAAGAACATGCAGCTTGATAATGGCAAAGGTGGAAACAACAACAGAGGAGGCCAAAAAGGCAACAACAACAACAACAACAACAACAATAACCATAATAACCAGCACAAAGGAGGCCAGCCAACCCCTCAACAGCTGCAGCAACTTCAACAGCTTCAGCTTCAGCTTCAGCTTCAGCAGCTTCAACAAATGAAAGGGTTACCAGATCTGCAGCTAACTCAATTGAAAGACATGAAGATTCCTCCTTTCAACCAAAACAACAATCAGAAAGCTGTCAAGTTTGCTGAGGAGGAAGATTTTAGCGACGATGTTTATGATGATGACTTGGATGATGATTATGATCTTGATGATGATTATGATCTTGATGATGAGTTGGATGATCCTCACCATCCTCTTAACAAGATTAAGCCCATGATGGGAAATGCCCCTAAAGGAGTGCCCAATATGATGATGCTGAATGGCATGATGAATGGTAATCATCCTCAGCTCATGAACACCCAAAAGGGTGGCCGAAGTGCTGCTGCAAATGCTGGAGGCAATGGTAAAAAAGGAGGTAACGGTGGAGGTGCTGGTGGCAATGCTGTGCCTGTTCAGGTTCTTACTGGCGGTGGTAATAATGAGGGTAAAAATGGAAATGGAGGTAAAAAAGGTGGTGCCGGAAATGATAATGGGGGAAATCAAAATCAAGGCGGTGGTGGTAAAAACGGTGGTAAAAATGGCGGTGGTTTAACTCAGGCGGTAAAAACTGGTAACAATGGTGGTGGTGGGGCAAACAAGAATGGTGGTAATAATGGTGGTGCAAATGGTGGCAATGGGGGGAAAAAGGGAAATGATGGTGCCCCTAATGGTATTAATGATGGATTCCCTAACATGGGTGGCCCCACGGGTGTTAATATGGGTCATCAGATGGCTAATATGAACACGGCTATAGGCCAAATGGGCAGCTTACCTATGAGCCAAATGGGCCAAATGGCTAACATTCCAGCAGTCCAAGGCTTACCGGCGGCTGCAATGAACGGTGGTGGTGGTGCTGCTGGCGGCCGGTACTTCCAAGGGGCTGGTCCAGATTTAATGCCTGGTAACCCGTACCATCAACAACAGTATTTGGCAGCCATGATGAACCAACAACGTGCAATGGGAGGAAATGAGAGGTTTCAGCCCATGATGTATGCTAGGCCACCCCCAGCAGTCAATTACATGCCCCCATACCCATACCCGTACCCCTACCCACCGCCTCAACCCGACCCGTATACCCACTTCTTTAGTGATGAGAATACCTCAAGTTGCAATGTGATGTGAAGATTTGGATTTGGGTCAGAAAGTTTGACCAAGTTTGTGGTGGTTCAGTTATAGTTCAAGAACTAGAAGCTTGATGCCCTAATATACATGGAAATGGGTTTTTATTTTAGTTTACTTTTCCCTCACTTTTTTATAATCGTTTGCAATTTTCTTCTCTTTCTTTTTTATAATCCCAAGTTGAATTGGGGTTTTAATTATCAAAGGGGTATTTACAGATAATATATATATATATATATATTAAAGTCTTTAGGGGAGAAAATGATGAGATGTAAGTGAGAATTAGTGGTGGGCTTTACCTTTTTTATGAGAATGTTTATATATGTTTATATGTTGCAAAACAAATAAGATTAAAAAAGAGGATGAGAAAGGGTGGTTAACCAAAAATGCCCATTTTTCTCCCCATTTCTCTCCCAATGTCTCCTAATTAAAGCATTCTCATGTGCTTTCGCCTTGTTTTTATCTTTATTTATTTCCAATGTCACGTTATGCAATTCTTCTTGTTTGTTTCAGTTTGTGCTTGAAATGGTGTGTGGAGTCTTGTGAAAGAGTGGGGCTCACTCAATTTGAGGGGGGGGGGGGGGATTTTTGGAGAATTGGACCCACCGTCCCTCATCACAGTGTTTTATTGATGAGTTTGTCCCTACCCTCGTGCCAAAACATTTTTAAAGTGAATAAAATTAGGTTACAGCTATTAACTTTTACATTCTCAATTCCACTATTCACTCACAAAACATACTAAAAGTTCATTGTTTGTTTGTTTGTTTGTTCAAGTATTCCCATATTGATTGTGTAGTTTTGAATTAGTGGTTTTTTTTTTTTTATTACAAACTGGAATCTGAGGAGCTAGAATTTTCTTCTAAGTGAAAATGACTCCACTCGTCCAATTGCAGCCTCTAGTTAGAGGGGACAATTGGCTCGATTCAAAGTGAATAATTAGGTTGAAACATTTCTAGGTTTGAATAGTTTGATTTTTTTTTTGTTCAAATCATTTTGATTTTATATTATTAGGACTCGAGTCATTGGGTTTTGATTATTTTAAAATTAATTTATTATGTTTTAAAATCAAAGTAATTTAAATTTATTTTAAGTTAATTTTTTAAGTTGTTCAAATCAAATTCTTTCAAGTTTTGATTGCATTGAATTTAAGTTGAAGAAGTTTAAATTGTTAATATTTTGGAATTAATATTATAAATGATTTTTAAATTATAACAAAATATTTAATATGATATTTTATTTTAAAATTTTTTAATATAATATTTAAATTACATAATGTATTAATTAATATGATATTTGAAAAATTAATTATCTATTTTGTATTATCGTTTAAAATTAACTATATTAATATTATCATATTAATTATAAATTTATAATTTAAATATTATATTATAAAATTTTAAAATTAAAATAATACATTAAATATTTAATTAGAAATAAAAAATTATTCATAATATTAATTTTTTTAATCAAATCGAGTGGAATTTGTTTTGAATTTAATTAAGTTGAACAAATTTGAATTCGGATAAACTTAGCCAGCATGATCGCATAGCTTAAAATGAAACATTTTGTCAAGACAAGAAATCCATTGTCGTTGGTGTGAATAAAATTTTGGTTTTTAGTTTTTGTATTATTTAACCCTTCCCAATATTCATTACCCACTCCGGTATGGTATCTGTACGTAATATATGTCTAGTCTTTTTTTTTTTTTAATTTTCCTTCAAATTGTTAAAATAATGATTTAATAGTCACAAAACCTTTAAAAAGACATAAAATTTTGATTTGGAAACAAATCTCGCCCTGCAAGGGCTTTGCCCCCTCCTTAAAACGAAAAAAAAAAAAAGTACGTAGGAAAACATTATTCAATTATTAATCGAAAAACATGGAAGAGTGTAGTGTAGTGTTATTGGTTTATAGCTCTGAACAACTCGCCATTCATTCAGAGGGAGTGAGAGAAAGAAAGAATAGGTAGAGTTGCTCTGCCTGCGTCCAAAGAGGAGCGGAAGTGAGAACGTGTTGACAGGGACAAGCTAACTACTTTTTACCCCGAAAAGCAAAAAAAAAATCAAACGGCGTTGACAGTTTGACACGAATTCCGGTTAGCGTCTTCTTGTGTCTAGTCTTATCATCAGAAACACCATCATCAAAAAAACAAAAGGCCCTCTGTTTGTAAATATTTTGTTTCTTAAAAAAATGAGTTCCAATCTCCCACATCAGAAACGATCATGATTTGGATACTGGAAGTGAGAATCATCCTGATCGCTCATCAATCAAAACTCCATCCATCCGTAAGAGCATATCTCCATCTGTCCAAGCACAAACAGTGATTGTTGATGTTGTGGCCAAAAGCTTTTTTTGGGCTTGATGAAACTAAAAAATATAAAAACAATATAATTTAAAATTTAATAAAAATTATATAATTAATAAAAATAAAAATATATACTTTATATTTATATTTTAAATATAAATTATAACATAATAATTTTTATATTTTATTTATAATAAATTAAAATAAAAAAAACAAAGGTACGAATGGTTAAATATTATTCCAAATCAGTAGATTGGACCGCAGCTCCAACTTTAAGTTAGTAAGATCTTCGTCCTTGTAATATTGTATGAAATGTATTATGAAAGAAAGTAAATTTAAAAATCTCCGTTCGCATAAATCTTACGTTTCAAATTAATTCATAATTGGATTTTATATTTTATAAAAAATTTTTGAACTTAACAGAAAATTTATACTAATAATTAGTAATATTTTAATAATAAATTTAAAATTAATTGTATTAAATTTTGGATAATCAATTTTATCGATCATTCCGTTCAATTGCTTAATTAAAGTATACTATGTTTTAAATGTATAATTTATTATTAAATATATATTAAATATATTATATATTTGTAACAAATAAATGTATTTGATTTAATGATTAAATTATTATAAAAGAATCTACAGAGATAGTGGTTATAATTTTATTATTTGCAATAATTTTTAAAAAATAAAATCAGCGTAAATTGTTTGAATTCAGTTTAATCAATTAAATTATTTAAATGTTAAATGGATTTTTCATATTCTGAAATGAATAAATCATTGATATTTTATTCAATTCGTTCTAACAATATTTCACTGGAAAAATGTTTTTATTTTTATTCATTTATTTGTCTCAAAGTTTTATTACCAAAATGATTTAGCTGGAGCTTGGGATTCGAGAAAGACTTTGTAAGGATAGGTCGTGATCTATATTTATAGTTCTTGCATAAAAAGTAGTAGTCAAAGTCCTTAAAATAAAATCACATGGCTTCATATTCATTATATCTAGTAAATTTCCCTCGACGTGCTACGCCGCAAGGAATTGTAGGAAAAACACAAATTTCTATTTTCTCTATTTGTTGTAAAATAATAAATATTTAATTATTAAATTATTTAAAATTTCTTTAATAATAATTTTATGTATCCATTTTATTGATTTTTTTTTTCAAATTGTTCAATAAACATAATTGAGGGACAACATATTTGCATTCTCTCACTTTTTTAATTATTAAAATCATAGTATTTTTAATTATATATTTTTAATAATACAGAAAAGTATTATGTTTTATTTCTATTTTTTTATTGTTTCATTTACTTAAAAATTCAAAAAAATTCTTAATTTTGAAAATAATAATAATAATAATAATCATAACAACAATAAATTATATTTATGATCCTTTGAAATTAATCTTTCATTGGAACAAATTGTAAGAAATCTCTTTACATTTTGTTAAAGTTTACTAATAATTTTTTCAATTCAAGAAAATATTAAAAATGTTATTACAAAGTTCAAACCATATTTATATATATATAATTAAATTATATATTTCTAATGGATTGGAAATGCTGTAGAAATAGAATAAAATGAATTATTTTTCATTTGGATTAGGCTTTATTACTTAAAATAGGCCAAGGTAACTTATCTTTTGATACATTTATTTACTTAAAATGGGCTAAGAATCCTTTTTTCACAGTTGTATTTTTATGTTATTTTTGGATAAACATTAGTAAAAAAAGGAAAAGGAAAGTAAAGTAAAGAAAAGGGAAGGTTTTTTAAGCTTATATTTGGATTGAAGTAAAAGAAGAGAAAGGAAAAGAATGAAAAGGAAACAAAAAAAAAAAAAAAGGGAAATCCTTTCCTTTGTTTGTATATGATATAAATAAAAATAAAAGAAAGAAATGTATGCTTAGCTTCCATTGGTTTTCCTCAACTTTTTTTATTTTTTAATTACTTCAAATTGGTGGAAAAGGAAAGGAAAGGAAAAAAATAAAATTTTGAAAAAAAAAATGATATATGTACTCTTTATTTAGATAGCTAAAATTAATAAAAAAAAAAGAAAGCAAAAGAATTCTAACAATCATTGTTTAGTTAAATAATAGAAAGGAAAGGAAATAATTTATTATATTATTTTTTTCCTATTATAACCTTTGATCATCTTTTTTTTTACTATAACATTCACATGTTTATGTTAATGTATTTCATGTTTTCAATTTTCCTTTTTATTTCTTCATAAAAATAGTCATCAATAAAATTCATGAAATTCATAAAACTAAGATAAAAAAAATTGGAGACAATAAATTTTTTGGTAAATAATATTTTGTATTTTTAATCTAATTTTGGAGTTCAAAATTATATACTTTTAATTAATAAGGATATAATAATCCTTTTATATTTTAAAAAATTTATTTTTTTCATTTCTCTTCTTTTTTCTCCAATTTGGGATAATTAAAAAATGAAGAAAGTTAAGGGAAACCAAAGGGAGCTAAGTATACTTTTATTTCTTTTATTTTTGTTTATGGCATATATAAACAAGGGAAAGGATTCCCCATTTCCTTTTGTTTTCTTTTCATTTCTTTCCTTTCTCTTCTCTTATCGCAATCAAAACATAAGCTTAATCTCCTCTATTCTCATTTTGTTAGCTTAACTAAATATCTAACAAAATCCTAAATTTTCATTTATTTTTTTCTCTTTTTTTTCTAGCCAGCTACTGCTTCTTTTCCTTTTCTAAAATATGAAAACCTGCCTTTATCCCTATCGGATTCCAATCTTTGCCATCGATCAATCAACCTCAAAACTCCATTACCTTCATATCCTTTTAGTTTTCTATTAATTATCTTTCAAGAAAACTCGAAAAAAAATCTAAAAATTTAAGAATCTAAACCCTCAATCCCTTTCTTTTTTCTTTATGATCTCTTTTGTCTATCCTTTATCTAACACATTATTTCTTACTAATAATTTTTGCTTTAACAAAGTCTTCTCCTCTAAAAAAAATCCAAAACTCAAAAACCTAACCATAACTGTCGCCACCATTACTGTTAGAAGTGGATCACTTTTAACTCAGATTTTCTTTTCCTTTTTTGATTGTGGGTTGGATGTTCTTTGATTGTTGGTTGAGCAGTGGTTGACTTATACTTTTAATGTTATTTTTATTGATATTTTTCTAGTTTTTAATTTTATGTTTTTGGTATTATTTTTTGGTGAATTTTATTGCATATCATATCTACTTTCTTTTTATGTTTTTTTTTTTTTTC